AATTTGCCAAAATTTTCAGATTTCCGTGTGATGGGCGATCATTTGATGAACACAGTAATTTGAAAAGCGCAGTAAAATAAAAATTTCTTTATTTTCGCCTACATCTAGTAATACATGAAAATTTGCTGTAGATTTGGCCAAGCAAAAATTGGAAATTTCGGGGGTTTTTCCTACTAAATAATGATTTGCAAACCATCTTCTATTGCTATAAAATCGTCTAAATTCAAGTATAAGGTATAAAATTTTAATTGAACTTCCGAAATAATCCTAAAAAATAGAGACTGATATCATCGTAACAAAAGTCTGTGAGAAATAATTGAAATATCGATATGATTACTGGCTAGGCTTCCAATGAATCATAGTTCCAAATTCCAATCCCAATTTTATCTGACAACAAAACCTAGAATAAAAAAATTTATCATGTGCGTAATTACGATAGATTTAAAGTTAATATTTAAGAAATTTCTTTAAAAATTGATATATACCATCAACATTATCAAAAAAAGTATCTATCTTGACCCGTTCTGCGGCCGGAATCGCACTTTCCAAATTGGTTCCGGTATTTCCTAAAAGTTTAATTAATGTCTGAACTGCAATAGCCCGATTTTGTGCTTTCCAGAATTTTATTTTTCTATCTGACCCACACCAGAAAATTCTCCAATCATCCCTGAGATCTGACAAAATACCGAACACGATCCTGGTATCTATTGTTGTTAAGTCTGCGGCAATTAACTCTAAAATCGTTTGCATTACGTTTTTTCTTTCTACATATTTCTTTATTTCCAATATAGCGTAGATGTTTTCTTGAATTAAATTATTTGAGACATCGTTTTCGCCCACGACCACCACGTCTGTCCCGCCACGAATGTTGAACGGTAACCTATGATCCCCGCTTATATTTAATAAACCATGGTTACCGCCAACATCGTGCCAAATAAGGTGGTTACCTAAAGGAACATACTTGCGTAACCATTCCATGTATTCTTCTTTGTGTCCCATTTCGGATTTATCTGTCCACTCGAAAGCTGGAAGTGATACACTATCATGAATGGAATTCTCGTTAAAGGAAACAGTTTCAATTTTAAAGTTTAAATGGTTTTTTAAAATTTGAAATTTTTCTGCATCTATTTTAGAAATAGATACAGTTTCAATCGTGATTTTGCGGTGAATTTCATTAATTTTTTTAATCGTTTCCTGGGTAATTGTGGCTGATACTAATATAAATGTATAAATATAAAGATTAGTAAAATCTTTATATGAGTGCTGTCAATAGAAAACCTGTCATCGGGCTTTCAATGTTCAGTTGGCTTTCTGTATGCAATCTATGGGCGATCTATTCTGATGATATATTGTCCATAGACGGCATACAGAAAGCCAACTGAACATTGAAAGCCCGAT